TGAAATTCTTTGATTCAAGAATTATGGTGAATTATGAGGGATAATGAAGTGTTATAGTGTTATAAGAAGGTTTACATATGTATAGATAAGTTTTATGGTATAAGGAGGGGTTAATAAGTAGAATTTGAGGACAAAGTAAGAATTTTTGGGCTCAAAATGTAATTTCTAGGTTGTGTGCATCGATGCATCTTCAATGTGTATCGATGCACTCTCAAATAAATGAACATCGAATGCAATTAGTGCATCGATGCATAAGGAGTGAATCGATGAACCCCCTTAAGATTAGAACATTGAAGGTGATTTGTGTACCGATACATGGATAGTACATCGATGCACATGTTAAAGAATACATCGATACACTGTAGAATGTACCGATGCACTTCAATGGGAAATGGAATAAATCTTTCTTTCAGTCTAAAAAATTATAGATTATAGTATATCAATGGGATACTGATAGTATAAATATATGATTGTGTAGACATCGATCGAAAGCAAAGTTCGGTTAAGTCGGCAAAGTAAGATACGCAAAGAAAACAAGAGCTTAAGAGTGTTCATTGAGACCAGGTGAGTACATGATAGTAAGTGTACTTTATGTTAAGGAATTAAGACTTGCGAATAGTCTAATTCTGATATTATATGATATAAGTACTAAAGCATAAACATGTAGTGATATGGTGTTAGATGTATGGTATATGAGTATATGCATATGTCTAATTGTTGAATGCATCTTTATGTGTTAACTATGTAAATGCATGTATTTATGATAATATGTCATGTGATCATGAGATATATGATAAAATATATGTGAAAGTAATATGACTCATATGTATTTCTATTAGAATGTTATATGATATGTTATGTATGTGAAATGAATGATATGAATACATGTTAGTATAATAAGCTAGATTAAATATTATAATTGAATGAAGGGATTGTATGCGAACATGTGTTATGAGATAAGAATCATGACTATGAACTATGTGAAAAGGAATACAAGTAAAAGTGAAAAGATATGTAATAAGTGAATGAGAATTACATGGAAATATGTTATGTGAAAGTGAACTATGTGCCTACGTGAATATGTGAAAAGATATAAAAAAGTAATGCCCATGTCATGTTTTATGAGAACTATAGGTATAGTTGGCATGCCAAGAGTTGAGGGATTATCAGTGGTCCTTCGGGACATAGTGGTCCTTCGGGATATAGTGGTCCTTCGGGACACAGTGGTCTTTCGGGAGATAGTGGTCCTACGGGACAAATTCTATGCGCCCCTAGTGGGATTTATACGAGCTGTTGTGACAGCATTATGCACAACCTCTATGTACTCACATACCTTAAGTTCTCAATAGTGTGCATGGGCTTTGAAAAGAAAACATAATTTGATATAATGATATGTGTGTTTCTCGTGAAATGGTATATGTGATATGTGATATGTATAAGTGATAAGTTAGGATCATATGATAATAATGGTAACAAGTGCATATGTGTAATGGTGATAAGAGATGTTATATGGTTATGTATGATATGATCATAGTAATTATTCATGTATTGTTGTGTTTTGAAATTATATTATACGTTTATGTTCAAAATATGCTCATATGATGGAATTGAATTAATGACAAGGAAATACGTAAGGATAAACATGTTAGTGATGAGTTCAATAGGTATATAAGTATAATGTGTATTACATAAGATGTTCATACATTTGTTATTTTACTTTATGTATTTACATGTTTCACTAAGTCTATGACTTAGCGTGTAAGTGTCTTACATGTAGGTGTGGACAAGTCAGAAGATCAAGCTTTGGATCCGTAAAACAGCATATCTCCGTGCAAAGTTCAGATCAGAAATATTTTGTAAAGTATGTCTTGTCATATAATTTAGTATGTTGGCATGTAACTAAGTCATTATATGTTTTGAAATACGTTTCACCGAAATTATTGATTTACTGGCTTATGAACCATGGCTACATGGTATGTGTTATCTGATTTCAGTTTTCACTGAAAATATGATTGTTCTTCAATATAATCATGGAAATTTACTGGTTTATGAACTATGGTTTTTTGTTTTCACTGGTTACTACTTGAACTGTTTTATTGGGACTTTATCTGGGTATGCTGAAGGTTATCTCTGATCAAGCTGGTAAATCCTTACGGACCTAAGGTGACCCCTTGGGTAGGCTCTGAGGCCCCGAGAAACTTTCTTGGGGAGGCTCTCAAGCCCCAAGACACTCCCTTAGGTTAATCATATGACTATGGTGTACAGGTGGAGGGTAGCTATATGGTATATTTCATTGTCACGTTTATGAGATTTTACTGTATCAGGATCCAGATATTACAGTTTACTGTTAAAACTAATTTCTACTGGATTTTATATGGGTATAATTTTGGAGTATGGAGGTTCATCCCTGATCCAGCTGGTAAATCCTTACGGACCTAAGGTGACCGTTGGGTAGGCTCCGAGGCCTCGAGATCTTTCCTGGGTAGGCCCTACGGCCCCGAGATCTTTCTTGGGTAGGCCCCATGGCCCCGAATAACTTTCTTGGGTAGGCTCTCCTCTCGGGCCCAAGGTATTTCCTTAGGGTGGCTCCCTTTGCTGTGTGCTTAGGGTAAGCCCTTATAGATGCAGTTCTGGGGAACTGCATAACGGTGTTCGGTTGGAGGGTTCTATTATGGTTTTAGAAACATGCTTTAAATTGTTAATGTTTTATCTTTTCACTGGTTTTGGTTTGGACACACTAGACATACTATTCCAATTTCTTACAAACAGGGTTCTTTGAAGGTTTCCTATGAACTGAGAAATTTATGACTTTCACTCGATGAACTACCAGTGGAACCCCAGCTCATCCTAAAAAACCTGTATATGTTTGAATCAACAAGGAAATTTTATTGATTTCCATTTATATGTATGTTTTGTAGCATCAATTGGTAGTATTTTATTACTAAGCTTCCCAAAGCTCACTCTTTAACTCACTATTTCAGGTTAAAAGAACCAAACCAGTGCAACTATCGACATCAGTAAAGGAGTTCCACCAGTGTTGCTTACAGAGTACGGTGCGTGTGATTAGGGGGCATGTAGGTTGTATTTTGTTTTATATATACGAGTATGGAATCTATTTTATTTTCTGAATATCGTTAAATTCTAATTTTGTATTTATAAATTGTTTTATGATTTTAAGCATTTTAACAAATTTTTTAATTTTCTGGGATTTTTATGTTATGATGCTCCGGTGGCCCTAATGTGACACCCTAGATCCGATCGGGTCACCCGCATCGGTCCGTGGGTGTTACATTGCACTCAAGACACCCACCAGCACAAGGATGATCTCAAGGACAGGGGAATGCCATCAGTATAAGGGAAGTCAACATTAAAGGCGTCAGAGATAAAGTAAGAATCAAAGAACATGTGAAAATCAAATTCTTTGGAACAATACCAACTAATTGCTCATACAAAGGTTGTAACTCGGGAATGGCTTCTTATAGCATGAAACGACTCACGAAGCATAAATTATTGGAGTTGATAGCTTCAACCATAAGAAGGAAAAATGGTGGGTAGCCTACATTTCAATCAATGCTCAAACGCAAGGAAAACATGAATCACAAGTTAAAGGCACAGGGCGAGAAGGCGCAAAGAAGAATGGAAATTTATGCGGATATAAAATTAACATATAGAAATTTGAAGGTCAAGGGCCAAGTTTATTTGAAATTCAAGTCTTACCATCAAACCTCACTTGCTCTTCAAAAGGGATTAAAGCTGGCAGAAAGGTCTATGGTTCTATGGTGCTCGACAAACGTAGAGAGAAGAAGAACAATCAGGTGCAGTAGATGAATATAGGACTGGAAAACATCACTATAGTAAATTATATTGTACTTCAATCACAATTCCTAGGTTTTGATCCTTGGGGACAAACATCCTTTCATGGAGGGGTATTGTCATGAGTAGTAGAGATATAAAAATATTCGAAGAAGACGAGGGAGAATTGGGGGAATTGAAAGTAGGGTTAGGGATTTCTATTGAGAAAATTAGGGTAATTGGGAATACAAAATTAGAAGGGCTTAGTCACTTACCAGATGGACCAAATGAGCAGCTTGGAAGTCTAACCCAATCAGGGGAACGAATCATGCCATCAACACCTGTAGGGGAAGAATTATGTTAGAAAGTTGTACTGCCAGTTGATAAATTGGTTAGAATTGGTACAATGTTAACAAATAAAACATGTATTGAACCAAGGGGAAATTATCTGAAAATTGAATGAAATTGTTCTCTTCTTCAATCTCTCTGGCTTCTCTAAATCTTCTTCTCTTAATCTCTATTTCTGTTTATTCGATTCTCATTCTTCTCCGATTCTCTTGAGTCATAACACATTCCATTGGAGAATATGATATTGCTACCAAATCTCTTCAACACATTCCGAATTCTCTGCATCGACAAGGGACATTAATGCGTTCAAATCTTTTCGAAAATGGTATGTCGAAATGAGACGGAAGAGGAGAAAATGACCGAAACGAACTCATTTCACCGCTGAATTTAGACGTACTCCAATGTGGCCAAGGGGAAACATGCTATCCTTAGAGCAAGTCATCGGCATAATCATTTCCGTACATGACTGCATAATCTTTTTCACTTAAAAAAAATTAAATCGAGTTTTGGATCGAATAAAACCATTCTAAAACAAGATCGGATCAAGTGAAGAGTTAAGACTTTTCTGATCAAATTTGGTAGACAAAAAATCCGACCCGACCTAGTTTATAAGTCAGCTTAATCAGGTCCTAACAATTCAAGTAAAGCATTTGTCTCTTTGCTGGGATGAAGAGAAACCATTTGTCTCTTTGCTGAAGTGAAGTGAAAGCTGAAATTGCCTAATTGGACTGTTCTTACCATTTCTGTATCACTCCATTATTGCCTCCTCTTACTTCCTTCTTAAGTTTGTTTACTTGCAATGCAATCTCACCATCTCAAGAACTCACATGACCCCATCACCATAAACGTCCCAGAACCTTCCATCTGCATGTCGAAGTTGCAGGCCATCCATACCCTAAACATGCATGGCCCTCAAACCTCCACGATTCATTCAACATTTCACATTCCCAAACACTATTAAAACACCAGCAAAAACCACTCCCCAACCCCCCCCCCCAACAATCTAAAACAACCAAAATGGAAGTAGTGAAGAATCTAGATCTCCAAAGATTCATGGGAAGGTGGTACGAAATAGCTTCCTTCCCAAACTTTTTCCAGCCCAAGAATGGGGAGAACACGAGGGCAACCTACACGCTGAACGAAGATGGCACGGTGCATGTGCTGAACGAGACGTATAAAGATGGCAAGAAAGTGTCCATTGAAGGCACTGCTTACAAGGCCGATCCCAAGAGTGATGAGGCCAAGCTGAAAGTGAAGTTCTATGTCCCTCCTTTCTTGCCCATCATCCCTGTCACTGGTGATTACTGGGTTCTGTACATTGATGATGATTATCAGTACGTTCTTGTTGGTGGAGGACCTACCAAGAAGTTCCTCTGGGTGTGTCTTTCAAACCCTGAATCTCTCTTTATGGTTTATGTCGTCGGTTGGTCATTTAAACCCTGATTTTTTATTTTTTATTTTTTGCAGATATTATGCAGGATAACACACATGGATGATGAAACCTACAACTTTCTGGTGCAGAAAGCTAAGGATTTGGGGTATGATGTGAGCAAACTGCATAAGACCCCACAGACCGATCCACCGCCGGAAACGGAGGATGTCCCTAAAGACAAAGGCATCTGGTGGATCAAATCCCTGTTTGGGAAGTAGGAATCTGAAATGAATGGAATCATGGTGTATGCTTGTCAGATATATAAATAAACATCTCATCAGAATCTTGTCTTGGTAGTGTTAAAGTCCAATACATGTCTTTGTGTTTGTTTTGTAAAGAAGTTGATGTTTGAATGTAAGGTTTTGTGTTGTTCATCCCTGAAACTCCATTTTAATAGTTTTGAACTATGAACTATGATGTTTTAGCTGCTTGATGATGATGATGGAAGGATGAAGAAGCTTGAGCAGTTCAATTAATTTGTTTTTTTTTTTGCCAATTCCAAGGTGGGGGACGGTAGGTGAAGGGCACCACGTTGAGTTCATGAATCTTGTTATCCTCTCTCTGACGTGACTGCAACCTTATCTTCAACATGGGCAGTTCAATTTGGACCTCAGGGAGTTTCTACTTTCTCGCAACAATCTTTGGATTTTATGGCAAGTTTAGGGAAAGTTTTAAAGGAAAGGTATCTAATTATTAATTATCCAAAAATTAATATACTACAAAAAGAAAACAATATTTAAAGTCCCTTATATAACCATATTTATGATAAAGACTTTATTAACTCAATTCCTCCATTAAAATGAATTAATTTAGAAGAATTAAATGTTGGGATGCAAAAGTACACACATAACTGCTTCTATTAAAAGTATTGTATTGATTATTAAATCAATTTAATATAAATTACAATAACATTCGTTTTTTTTTAAAATTATTTTAAAAAATATTGAATAATATTTAGATGATATTGTGTAAATAAATTTTTATTTTTTGATATTTTTTTAAATTTACTCTTTATAATATTAAATACAATAGATAATATTACCTATTATAAAAGTCTTAATAATATTATTGTCAAAATATAATAATAATTTAATTAATATTATTATTTATTGTAAACATACCATTAACTTATTTACACTAGTATATAATTTTGAAGGGAAAAAAGATATAACTTAGCGTTTTTTTGTTGTTGACTTGTAATTAATTTCACATTGACCAACCATTTTACTCGAACCAAATATCAAGAGTAAAGAAAATGTTTTTCGAAAAATTAATTACAACAAAAAAACATATCCTTGTTTTTTAATAAAATCATTGATATCTGATCTATTGGTCTATTAATTAAGACTGGATGCTAAAAAAACTTATTATAAGGACGATCATCCCCGTTTAATTTGCTTCACTCATAATTCTGAAACTCAAATCCTAAACATTGTTAAAGAAACCTATAGCATCATCTCACCAAATCAATTGATAACTGATAAAAATATTTTATTTAATTTTTTTACTAATACATGAATTAAATCGATCCATTTAATAATAATTGGATTAATTTGAATCAATCTCTATAATAATAAGAGGATTAGATTGAACTCATATCTATACTAAACAGACCAAATCGGTTAACCATATAAACAAATAAAAGTTACCATCAGCTCCATTTGCTAGAACACTTGAATGCCATCACAACATAGTTGTGTTTCTCTACAAGTTTTACAATATACTACAACATTGATTGTTACTCTTAGCCCGGCTGTAGAACATCTGTTTCAATAACCAAAAGAGGATTGATATTAGCAAAAAAAAAATAAGGTTCAACTCCCAACCAGTGTACTGACTCCGAACAAGGATGGACCGAGCGGGTGGGTATCGCCTCCTTAAAATTTTAAAATTACCATATATTTTAGATTTTTCTATGTGTTTTTTATTAAAAATCTATTTTCGTCCTCCTAGAATTCTATAAATTGTTCATTCTTAAAATCTTAGATGTTCGCCCCTGATTCCGGATATATTTCGATTATTTAGTCCACAGTTGTGCTTTGTAACTATTAATTCTAATTATAGTCTATTTCGATATAATTGTAACTTCAAAAGAAAAATAATATGCAAAATGGATAATGCAATATAGGATTATATTGTGTTGCACATGTACTTGAGATGCCGTATTGAGATCTGAACTCTTCTCAACTAAACTGTCCAACTTCTTACCTCGTGCAAGCATGCTATCAATTGTTTTATGCTGCATCAAAGACATACTCATTTCAATGATTGAGAGAAGAACTTCTAATCAATCAAATCCAAGCTAACAAAAAGCATACCGATACTTTTCTATTTATGAACAAATCTTTCTTTTGAAATGATATAATTCATAACAACATTACAAAGAAAAAAAGATCCAAATATGGAATAGTGAACGAATAGAACATTGGAGCTGAGGATGACATCGTAGTACGATAACTCAAAGCTAAAAGGAAACAACACAAACTCATCATTTTTCCCACAAAAATAGAAAATTGCTTACAAGGATGATTTTAGTCTCATCCAACTCCCTCTGAATTTTCAATAATTTATCAGCCTCTACAGGATCCTGAAAACGGTAAAAGGGTTATGTAAGGTTTTTCAAATATAACACTCCTATAAAGCTCTAATATTATGATTAGAAAAGAAAATGTGAGATTAATTTGAAAGGTGTAAGTCCCCATATTTAAACACAGCAGAAATGAATGAGAAAGAAAACAGATACCTGAAATTTGGTCAAAGCCTCATCCAAATAGGGCCAAATTTGAGTGCTATCATCTTCTGCAGTTCTCCATGATTCCCCAAAACTTTTCTGATATTCATCCACTACCTGCCAAACATTACCATTTGAAATTTTCCAAAGATCCCACAGAAGAACATCCAACCTCACACACATATTTCAGAACACCATATGTCAAACGTGAAGAATGTGACCCACATACTCTAAACGTCATCTTAAACTCTTAATGTATTATACGCACAGACACAGACATAGACACTTCCACCTCCACCCGTCGTCCTAGCAATCTAGTTATTGCTATAAGATGTAAAGAGAGGGATTGAGCCGGAAAAAGAGACTTAGCTATAGCTAAGCTTGCAAGTAAGCAGAGAAACAAGAATGAGCAGAGGTCCGAGACAGGAAATCAAGAAAAACTAAAAGCTAGGAACATGAAAGCTGAACAGGGAGTTACAAGCTGAGAGCTAGTGGGTCAAGTACCATAAAGAGGGACGTGTAGGAGGAATAAATCAATGGTTACTGAATAAGGTGAGTTTATGCCAATATTAGGACAACTATCAATAACTGTTGCTCCTATACATTATAGTTCATTCCACAATAACTGAATCTATAAAGATCTATTCATGTAAACACGACTACAATCATAAATGAATAAATTATTTCTCTAATTCCTCTCTTCTTCTCTATTTTGCCTTTCCATTCATTTCCTGATATAATCAGTCTCAGGCTATGAGAACCTAATAATATAACCACAGAGAACACCAATGCAGAACACCAATATTGCAGTCAATAAGATTTGATGCTACTGAATTATAAGGCAAATCATGACACAGAGAAGATTATAGTTACACTCCGTTATATTACCTGGTTGAGAAGCGAAAAAGCACTTTGAACAGGATAGTGACTATCCATAAATCCAATTGCAAAGAGTCCATTTATGTTGTAAGAATGTACCATGTACTCTACATTAAAATCACCAAACATAAATAAATAAATAAATCATTATTTATCATAATTAACCAAAGATCTTCTCAAACCTAAAATAGAATCATGATATTGATTTTACTGAAAAAATCAAAATTTCAGAAAAGATTTTCTTTAAAAAATGGCAATGTAGTACACGATAAAACAAAAGAAGATGTAGAGACGGTGTTATTGATCTAATTGCCAGATATATTAATAATCAAGGAAACAAATATTATCCTGTAATGAGAAAAAAAATAAGAAAGGTTCGTAGAGGAGGGACCTTCGTGCTAGACAGACTGGCGCTGACCGGGAGAGGTTCGTTTGCCGACAGTTCAAGAGACGAAGAGGATGAACTGCCTGACGCTTGGCCTTTGGAAGAAACCGAAATGGCTCACGTCGGATGCATTGGCTAGTATTATGGGATCGGATCCTTCCGGCCAATAACGCAGTGATTTTCATCTTTCCACTTCTCTTTCAATTTTCCCTAACAAAAAAAAAAATTGACAAAAACAATTTCGTATCTTTCTCGCTGTAAAAAGAAAAATATAGAAAAATACAATTAATATTTAGCAATACTTAATAAAAATAAAATAATTTATAAAAAAATTAAACTTAATTTTTTTTTATTAATATGGGTAATTACAAGGTAGTATTGAAAGCTCACACTTTTAACTATAATTCATTTACCACCGATCTCCCTTGTTTCGTGCTTTAAATTAAAATATTAAATATATATAAATATCACAAATAAATTAAATATTAATAAAAATATAATTTTTTTCACTTGAATTGTTCTACGAGTAAAGTATACAAATGATTCCCTGATTATATGATAATACTTTGTTGAGTACACCAACTATTAAAAGTTATAAAATAATCTCTCGATTATAAGATGTTGATTTGTTGAGTCCTTAGTAACAAAATAATCACTTGACTATTAATATGTTTCAAACTCGTCATTTTCGTTAAAAATTGACGTTTGTCTCAGCTGGATGTTAACTTGCTGAGTAAGATATGATAAAACATTATCCATAATTTCAAACGGCTATATAATTCAAACGACTCTGGGATCAGACTTTATCATAACACACTCAATAGTTTAACATCCAAATCAGACGATCATAATTTTTTAATAAGTTTAGAACATATGAATAGTCAAGTGACAACTTTTTAATTTTTAATAATCAGGGAATCAACATCCTCTAATCGAGGGACCATTTTGTAACTTGTAATAGTTGAGTGACTCAACAAAATATTGAAATATAGTCAAGGGACCATTTGTGTATTTTACCCTTTTTATATGTTTTTGCACATTTTTTTATAGAAGTGAGTGGTTCTATTAAAAAAGAGAAAATATACAGAATTATAATGAATGTTTCAATCCTAAACATAAATTAAACGTATAATTAGGTTATTTTTCTTTAATTATTAATTAAAAATCTAGTCACTTAAAATCATACAAAGACCATATAAGAAAAATATTAAAAATGTAACCAAAAACTCAAATAAAATAGATACGAACAGATTTGACCGCGTAAGCAAACGAACCAAAAAAGCATTGTTTTAAAAACCAGA